ATTTCGGTGGTTCTGTCAAAGAATGTCGCCTGTTCTACTTCCTGTACGGTTTCCTCTTTTAAATCCTCCAAAATCTTTTTTAAATTTCCTTCTATTGAATGTGGCATGGCTCCCAGTGCTGCTGCCACAATGACCGGAATAGTTTCTGTCTTTACTCCCCACATCCTGGCTATTTCAGCCTTTTGTCTGTTTCTTTGGCTGTCTGGTGTTTTTTTCCGCCGGTTCGGATACTTCAATTAGTTTATATCATTATTCCGAGGATGATATTCGGTTTGTTGGCTGGAACAGTTCTGTCAATGTGGATTTCTTGATCATACAGAACTGTGCATAGACCCAGTGTCGTAGCCGGGCTTGTACCATTATTTGACTAGCCCATCTATTCCGTATTTACGACAGATTTTCCAATGGAAATCTTGACATATTTTATTGTGCCTTTCTAAGTATTCATGTTTTGCCAATATCGAACAACCGGAAATTAAGTGATCGATTGTTTCCAACAGCGATAGACAAATTAGGCACATGTCATCCTGACGGACTTTGAGGATTACCTTCTCATAGTTATAGATCAGTTTGTGCAGCTGTTATAAACGCTTCTGCTTCAGACTTCAATTTTCCACGCCTTAACCAGTTGTTCGTGCTTTTCTTGTTAATGTCTGAAGCGTTTCCTCTTTTTAAATATTGCCCATGCAGCTTTTCCTGTTTCCATTTGCTCTTCAATTTTCTTTGGGATCGGGCTTTGCTATCATACGTTGCAAGCTGCCTTTTCTCCAATTCTTTTTTTTTCTCCTCTTCGACGATTTGCTTTGCCATTTTTAGTACTCCTGTTTTCTTCATTTTTTCTCCATTACCACTACTTGGGGTAAGTTCAGGTTGTGCTACCGATGGGATTCCATGTATTTCCCATTCCGACAGCGGCATTTTGATACGCCACTTCTATCGGGCCTGATACTTTCTATTAATCTTTATTATCATTCCAATCAAAATTTAAAAATGAAAGCGTTATAAAATTAATTATTTATTATGCGTTTTTATTATAATAACGCGTGCGTTTTTAAATATCACGCGCACGAGCGGAGGTCATAATTTTTTAATTAAAAAAAAAAAAACATTGAACGCACACGTAACCGGTAAATTAATTAACTAAGTAAGTAAAAAACTTTCCGTGAATTTTTTTCTTTCGTTACATAAGTTGACATCTTGGATTACAATGATAATAATAATAAAAATAATTGGTAATTGACTACCATCTGAAAACACTCGGAGGCTGTGACATAATTATATTAATAATAATAATAATAAAACATGAGCGATTATGTACGCAATATAATTTTTTAATTTTTTTTTAATTATGTAAAAGACAAAATTATTATTATTATTATTATTATTATTATTATTTTTCCTACTCGTGGCATTTGAAGATAGTGACACGACGTTTTTGTTTTTTTTTGATAATAAATAAAATCGAAAAAGAATCTTTATCGATATCCCTATTTAATCGCATGAAAAACAATTTCATCGACTAAACTTAACGTTTTATTATTATTATTATTATTTTGATGATTTGAAAATGAACTTTGACCCCAAATTACAATAACCGTTAACGATTAGTTTTAAAAAAAAAAAAAATGATTATCGATTCCGTAAAATGAGTCAGTAATCCGATTGATTTAAAATGAGTCAGTTTTTGTTATTTTTGTACTTTAAACATCCCTTTTGATAAATGATAAGGAGGGGGTGGAATGGGGTGGGGATGGTGAGGGGTAGGAGTATATAAATTTACTTAATTTTTCGTCTGCTGTTGTTCTTTTTGTTTTTAACTATTCTAATCGTCGATATTAAAATAATACTTTGTAACAACAATACGTTAAGACCGAAAAAAAAAAAAATTTTGGTTTTGTTGATTGTTTGTTCGGTTGTTTGTCATTTGTTTGTTTGGTTGTTCGTTTGGTTGTTGTTGTTAAATAATAAATGCCAAAAGAAATGACCCGCCTGGAGAAAGCAAAAGATTTACTTACTAACCTTCGGGTCGTTCATTATTCGAATCTTTTATAACAATAAAAATGTCAACTTTCATTTTTTTTAAGAGTAAATTAAAAAAAAAAAGTAAAATTCATAATTATGTCGCCGCAAAATAATTTTTGATAATAATGATAATAATATATGGGAAATAATAGAGAGAGAGAGAGAGAGAGAGAGAGAATTTTTTATGTAAGATGACATATCGATTTTACAAAAATGCGTGCCCTGATACGAATTTCTCTTCGAGTTTTTTTTTAAAAGGGGGTTGGGGTAAATTTTTTTGAAACGCCATTTTCCCTTTCTACCCCCATTCGTGCCAAGCACGAAAGGAAAACAGTATTTTTGTAAAAAAAAAAAAATTTTTTTTTTTTTTTGCAAAATAAAAATCAGACGCCATTTGAGTTTTGATATTCATTTGGCAATCTTTGTGTTCCTTTTTTTTTTTTTTGTTTTTAAACGAAGAAAGGTAAGCCAATGTTTAACTTAAGAAAATTTTTATCATTATTATTATTATTAAAACTTTTTTTTAAAATTTTTTTTTGAAATCCATATCCGTTCGTAAACCGGAAGTTTTACTATTTTTTCCATTTTTCTATGATGATTTTTAATTTACAAAAAAAAATTATTTCCGTCGTTAAAAATTTTTTTTTTTTTTTTTTTTTTTAATTTCCGGGAAATTTTTTTTTTTAAACGTGTATTATTATTATTATTATTAATATTAATATTGAGTTTGCGAATCGGAAAGAATGTAAAGATGATGATGATGATGATGATGACCGCGGTTTTGTTACGATTCGTTACTCAAACGAAATAAATTCAACGAGAGAAATCAAAAAGCGAATAAAAAAAAAAAAAAAAATTTTTTTTAAAAAATTAATTAAACATCCGTTAGAATTTTTATTTATTTATGTTTTTTTATGTTTTTTTATGTTTTTGCTTCTCGTTTAAGTAAATTTAAGGAAAAAAAATAGTAATAATAATGATAAAATAGGATAAGTAACGGGGCGGACGTGTTGCGAGTTTAAAACGTTAATAAAAAAAAAAAAAAAAAACAAAAAATTAGTTTTCATTCTTAAAATGGTAAAGAGCGTTAATAAAAAATAATAATAATAATAATAATGAAATAAAAATGAAATGAAAATTTTTTAGTTGGGTGAAAAGGTTAGAAGATGATGATGGAAAGAAAGAGAAACAAATAAAAAGAAGAAAAATGAAAAAAAAGACAGAGAGAGAAAGGGAGAAAAAATAAAGAAAAAAAGAAATGAAAATTAGAGAAAAAGAAAGAGTGAAAATGAAATTGAAAGAGATAAAGAAAGAGAGAGAGAGAGAATGAAATAGAAAGAATTAAAGAGAAAGACAAACAAAGATAGAGTGAAAGAGAAAGAATAAGAAAGAGAAAAAAATAAAAAATAAAAAGAAATGGAAAAAACTAAGAGAAAGAGAAAAAAATAAAGAAAAGCAAAAGTCGAAAAACAAACAGAAAGAGAGAGAGAGAGAAAGACAAAATGGAATAGAAAGGGTTAAAGAGAAAGAGAGAGGCAGAATGAAATAAATAGAATGAAAAAGTGAGAGAGAGAGAAAAAAAGAGAAAATAAAATAGAAAGAGTGTAAGAAAGAGAAAAAAAAAAATAAAGAAAAAGGAAAATGGAAAAAGAAAGATAGAGAGAGAGAAAAACAATGAAAAATAGAAATTAAAAAACAGAGAGAGAAAGAGAAAGAGAAATAAAGAGAGAGAGAGAAAAAAATAAAGTCAAAAAAGATTGTAAAAGAGTCAAAAAAAAAAAAAAAGGAAAAAAGGAAGAAAAAGAAAAACAGGAAAAGAGAAAGAGAGAGAGAGAGAAAAACAAAGAAAAAAAGAAATTAAAAAACAGAGAAAGAGAAAGAGACAGAAACAAAAAGAGGGAGAAAGACAAAGAGAAACAAAAAGAGAGAGGAAAAAAAAAAAATATAGTGAAAGAGCCAGAAAAATAAAACCAGAAAAAAAGAAAATAAAAAAAAGGAAAACAGTAAAATAGAAAGAGAGAGAGAGAAAGAGAAAGAGAATGGAAATACAAACGCACAATTTAACAATAATAATTATTAACTATTCACAGTTTGAAAATTTGTATTATCATTATTATTATTATTATTATTATTACCATTACTATTTATTTATTTTATTTTTTTTACGCGGAAATAACCAAAAAAAAAAAAAAAAATTTTACTTTCAATTATTTTTTATAGTTTTTTTTTTTTTAAAAGAGAGAGAAAGAGAGAGAGAGAGAGAGAGATTGATCTAACACACGCACACACATTATTAACCATTCACGCGCACGTACAAATTCATACATACGCAATTATTATTAATAATAACATATATTTATTTAATTTTCGAAAAAAAAAATAATAATAATAAGAATTACAAATTTTTTTCGTTTACGAACAGGTACCTTGTTCTATTATTATCATTATCAATTACTTTTCGAAAGTAATAATAATTAATTAAGGCCGTTATCAATAATTTACCGTAAGGTAATAAATCAATAAATAAATCAATAAATCGATAAATTTCAATTCAAATCAAATTAATCAATTTTCGAGAGAGAGAGAGAAAAAGAAAATTCTAGAAAATATTTTTGATACCTCCTTTTACTAAAATAAATTTCGAAAGTTTTAGAAATAAATTTCGATCCCCCCCCCCAAAAAAAAAAAAAAAAAAAAAACAACACGTAATAATAATAATAAAACATTTTTCTACCGACGCGTTAGCATAAACGACAAAAACCTTCTAGAATTATTTGTTTAAAAAAAAATCAAAATGGCGGAAATTTAATTTACAATAAAAAAAATAAATAAATAAATAATTTTTTAAAATTTTAATTATTTTCTCTATTAATCGTTATCGTTATAATAATTAAAAATTAAAAAATTTAATATAATATAAATCTAATGATAATAATAATAATAAGGAGTAAAAATGGCGGGAAAATAATAACGGAAATTCAAATACTCTCGTAAGCGAAACACGTAATATTATTTAACGATTTTTTTTGACTTTCTAATAAATAAGACGAACTTTGATTTAAATTTAAATCGTAACAATTATCCGTTAATTCCGTGCTAGAACGAAATGAATAAAAGCTCGTCGCGTTTGGATTTTTCATTAAACATTTCAATCTGTGATTCGACGAACATTTATTATTCGTCGATAAAATATTTTTATAAAAACCGAACGTGTCTTCCGGTATGACGGAACGACTTCCGCAATTTTGACAATAACCCGCGGACATTTTGGCCAATTTCAATGCTTTCTCGTAATGATCTTTCGATATTAATAATTTTTCGTAACTGTGCAACATGGATTGTTTTCTAACGTTTTTCATTTTTCTTTGCATTTCCGCCAGAGCTTTTTTCAATGGTTCCAATTCTTTATTCATAAATTCCGTAAAACTCACGATCGTCGTTTCCTTTGTCGAACCGCCTTTACGTGTTGTTATTGTCGTGCTCGTTGCATTTGTCGTCGTCGTCGTCGCCTGTAAATATTTCGAATTTTTCTTTTTACACGATTTTTTTATTAATGATAACGTATCTTCTTCCGGTTCTTTTTCTTCATCCTCACTTCCTCCCAATTCCGTTCGGCTTAAATTCGATCCGACGCTTTTGTAATCTTCTTCGTCGTCATCTTCATCTTCAATAAAATTTTCCGATTTGATTTTATCATCATTATTATTTTTTTTCTTTTCCCCTACCGTCGTAGAATTTTCCACGGAAACTTGAATTTGTGATTTTTTACTATTGAAAAAACCACTCGTCGGAAAATTATTGAAAAATGCATCGGAAACGTTTTTTATCGCGTGCGAACATAATTTTAATTTCGGTTGCAAATCGAAATTGATTCTTTTAACCGTTTCCGGTTTTTCCGTTGCTGCCACCATCGATATTGATATTTTCGTATGATTGGCAGAATATTTTTTCTTTTCAACGGATATGTTATTTATCGGCATGTCTTTGAATCCAATTGCAAGTTCCGTCGTGCTGTCTTTACCTTTGAAAATGGTTTTCAAATGTTCTTTAGAATTTTCTTCCATCGATCCGGGGATTTTTTCCATGAAATTTTTAACCGAAGTTTCATCGTTTCCGTTTACTTTATTTTCTTCTTCATTTCCGTTACCTTTTACAGATTTTCCAAAAATTTCTAAATCGTTAAATATCCTTTTTAGAAAATGCATATTTTTTAAACTGATGACGTTTTGTTCTGTTTTTGTTCTGTTAACTACTTCCGATAATGATGATGGTGTTTCCTTTGAAATTTTTATTCTAGAAGAAGAATTCGAAGGCGATGAATTTTTTACTTTCTTTTCAATGACGTCATCATCGCCATCATCATTTTTAATATTTATTTTTTCGTTCGGTACTTCCGGTTCTGAACCACATTCGTCTTTGTTTTCATTTTCAAAATGTAAACTACATGATTTATCGATTTTTTCCGTTATGTTCAACATGTCGGTGCTCCTGCTTTTGGTTTTTCCTAAAATTTCCTCTTCGTAATAATTTGTTTCGCTTGTTTTTCCTTTCATAACGTCCATGCACCAATAAACGCAAGCTCGAGAATTATCCGTTTGCATTGATTTCGTATTTAAATCCACGGACGAAATCGGTTTTATTTCGATGTTGAAGGGTAATGAATCAGTTTGAACTTTGCCCTCGTATAAAACGCACAAATCAGAATACGATTCGTTACGTACGAGAGAACACGTGGACGCAGGTTCTTTTGCCACTTTTTGTAGGTACCTATAAAGTTTTTGCTGTACCGAATACGTTCTAACGAGTAAATCTTCGATTTTTTGTTTGTCGTCCTCGTTGTTATTGTTGTTGTTATTTTCCGACATCAACATGGGTAATTCAATATTGATGACGTCATTATCCGCACTTTCAAGGCATGGTATCTCTTTTTTTTGTTCGTTCGTCGTAAAATTTTCTTCGAGTTTGTTAACTTTTATTTCCGTTTCCTCGATGGCTTCTTCTAATTCAATCATGTTTAATGAATTTTCTGCCGATGATTTTTCACGACGAGGTTCAAAAGGTAAAATATTTAACGAAGAATGATTTTTCGGTAGTAATGCTCTACAAACGGGCGTGGAAGAAGATGAGAAAAGGGATTTCTTTTCCGGTTCCTCCGTCGTTTCCGCCGCCGCCGACGCCGCCTCCGCCATTTTGTAACTCACGAAACATTCCGAACTTTTATACATGTTATCTTTTTTCGTACAAAAGTTTTGAATGAAATTATCGCGGTAGAAAAAAATTTTCCTTAGAATTTTTACTTTATTTAGTACGTCTATTAAAAAAAAAACATTTTTTACGTGTGATATCGATACCGTTTGAGGTATTTCCGGTGCGACGAGTGTTTCGCTCGATAAATAACGTAAAGATTTTAAAGCGGTCGATGAATTATTATTATTATTATTATTATTTTCGTCGAAAAGTAGACATGACGATGTGAACGACGTGAGATTTCGTCTTCTTTCCGCCGTTCTTAAATTTCTCGGGAATGAATTAACGCAAATGAAAAAATTCGAATTGTGATTATTGAAATTTTGAAAGAATGAATCGAAAAAATCGTATTCGCCATTATCGTAATAATAAGAATTTTTTTTTGAATTTTGCCAATATGTCTGATTTTTTTTCGTCATTGAATTTTTACAAGGATGTGGATGATGATGATGATGATGATGATGATGATGTTTTGCTATCATTAAATCTTTCGAATATTTAGAATTTAACAAAAGTAATTTTTCTTCCGTTTTAAATACTTTTTCAATAGTTTTCGTCCACGGATCATTTTTATCATTTTTATCATTTTTATTATTATTATTATTCATATGTTTGACGGGTAGAAAATTTTTAGACGCGGCGGAAAATGTATCACCGCAAGATGGTACGAAAACATTTTTCTCAGGGATTTCTTCCTTGTACTCTTTTCCAAATTCGTTATTTTCTTCTGCTGTTGAAATTTTACCACCGTTTGATGTCGATAATAAAGAAAAGTCAGAGCGACGACGAGTATCAACGACTCGACGTCTTCTTCTCTCTATGACGTCAGAATTTCCCGTACGAAATGATATTTGTCGTTCGTTTTTTTCCGGAATGGGAAAATTTTTACACGACGTACCTGATTTTCTCCTTTTTTGATATTTGTATAAAATTTTATCGTTATCGCAATCGAATTTATGATGATGATGATGATGATGATTTTTCAATTTGTAATCGTTGGCACCATCATCATCATCATCATCATCATTGTAATATTCTGGTAAATTCGATTTCGATCGATTTGCCGCCGATTTGCCGTCGTCTTCGTCAACGTTGACGTCATCACGTTCGGCAAAATGACGGTTTGATATATTTGATCTCGCGTCGGTTATAGAAAAATCTTTTTTAAATTCTCCTCCGGTCGAATTCGATAAATTTTCATCATTTTTAAAAAAAAATTTGGATTCGTTTTTAAAATTTATTACGTCATCAGATTTTCCGTTATTATTTTTATCATCGAACAAATAATCAACGGACGAATTCAAAACGACGGACTCATTATCATTTTTTTTATTAATTATAACGTCGCCATTTTTATATTTATCATCTTTAAATTTATTTTTTTTAATTTTTTTAATATCTAAATCTAAAACTCGAACGTTTTTTTTCCCATTTTCGAATTTTTTATTTCTAAAAAAATTTTCTTCATCCGATTTGTTTAAATTGATTTTTGCCGGTTCTACGAATAAATTTTTTTTCATTTCTTTTACGTGGACGCCATTTTGTTTATGGATGATGGCCGTGGACGAATTTCCTTTTTTACTCTTTGTTTTTTTTCGTTCCTCCATGTTTTTAACATATTTAACCGCATCTTTTTTTTTAATAACGTTAAAATTTTTTTCGTTGTTTAACTGTTTTAAATATTGTATTATTTTATTACTTTTATAATTAATCCTTTTCGTTTCGTTCATTTTTCTTATTCTTTCACGAATTATGTCATCCATTTTGAATTCGTCGTTTGTCGCAAACGTAGGAAAATTTTTGTCTTCGACATCACACGTTTTCCCTTCTAAAAATTTTTTTTTTCTACATTCTCTATAACTCGATACGGAACTTTCCCTAGAACTTATTTCCACCTTTTTCCTTTTTTCCCTTTTTTTATTTATATCGACGATATCGAGAGTTGCGCGAGAATCGCGATTCGATTCCATAGATTTTAGCCTTTTTCGTAACAAAATATTATTATCATTATTCGAATGAGGACGATGATGATTTTTTTCTATTTTTTTTCTCTCCATTACCGAAGCATAAATCCATTCTCCCTACAAAAAAAAAACTTAACGTAATAATAATAATGATAATAATAATTATAATAATAATAATAATAACAGTGTGGAAAATAACCTCTTGTATTCGATAGGGATTCGGATATAATTTTTTTAAAAATTTTTCAATTTTTACCGTTGGATTTTCATCGGCGACGTCATCATCGTCATCGTCATCATGTCCGCCATTTTTTTTCTTTTCGTTGATTTTAACGACGTCGAAATTATTCAAAAGCGTTTTTCTAAGATCCATTATTTTTTCGTTTTTGTAAAATTTTTCCCTCTCGACGATTACTTTATCAGACTCGTTATTAAATTCAATCATTTTAATATTATTATTATTATTATTATTATTATTATTATTATTTTTTCTTTTTCCTTCGGATAATTTAACGTCGTCATCGTTGTCGTCATCATCATCGTCGTCATCGTCGTCGGCGTTGTCGTCTTCGTAATAAAAATTTTCCTTGCTTGCTTTTATTATAGTTTCGATGTATTTTTTCAAATTTGGAAAATCTTTTTTTCCATCATCATTATCCTCGTCTTCTTCGTCATCATCATCATCATCATCATTATCGTTTTTACACGTTGTTGAATCAAAATGAAATTTTTTCATTTGTGGTACGTTTGAATCGTTGATAACGTTATTTTTTAATAATAATTTATGATATGATTTTTTGCCAACCGGCATTTTAATTAATGTAAATAAAAATTCAAATCATGTGTGTGTCAACTAAATATAAATAAATTTTTTTTTTGGTTTCAAAATTATTATTATTATTCACTTTAACAAAAAATTTTTATTTGAAAAAAAAATATAAATAAATATTTAATTAAAAAAAGAAATTAAAATTTAAAAAAAAAAAAAAAATTTTTTTTTTTTGATAAACAAATAATTTTTTTATATATATAAAAAAAAAAAAAAAAAAAAACTTTACGCGACCATCACAACAACAAATGACACGACGATTTTGTTTATTATTATTATTATTATTATTTAAAATAAAAACAAACGTGAACGTAGTTAAAATTTTAAATCTCTATGAAATATTTTCCGCGTTTTTTTTTTATTTTCAAACCACAGATTTCATTTTAACTCGTCGAATAATAATGATAATAAATAAATTGGAAGAAAAGGAGCTTATATAGGAAAGCCCAATCCCAAAGAAAACTGAAAAGTAAATGAAAGCAGAAAAAGCTGCATGGAAAATATTTAAAAAGAGGAAACGCTTCAGGCATTAACAAGAAAAGCACGCACAATTGGTTAAGGGATGGAAAATTGAAATCTGAACCAGAAGCGTTTGTAACAACTGCACCAAACCAGGCACTGCGGACATGGAACTACGAGAAGGAAATCCTCAAAGTACGTCAGGATGATAAGGGGCCGAATTTGCCAATCGCAGTAGGAAGAAAACAATCGATCATTTAATTTCCGGTTGTTCGATATTGGCAAAACATGAATATCTAGTGAGGCACAATAAAATCTGCATACGAAATGGATGGACTTGCCAAAGAATGGTACAAGCCCGGTTACGACAGTAGGTCCATGCACAGTTCTGTACGATCAACAAATTCACACTGGCAGAACTGTGCCAGCTAACAAACCGGATATCATCCTGAGGCATGACGCGGAAAAATGGTACAAACTAATTGAAGTACCCGTAACGGCGGAAGAAATTACCACAATCAAAGAAGCAGACAAAAGGCTGAAATATCCAGGATGTGGGGAGTAAAGACAGAAACGATTCCGGTCATCGTGGGGGCAACACTGGGAGCCATAACCACATTCATTAAAAGAAAATTTAAAGAAGATTCTGAAGAATTTAAAAGAAGAAGAAACCATCCAGGAAATCGCACTATGTGGGACGGTCCACATTCTTCGAAAACAGTAGCCCCCCTCCCGATATTCGAGTATTTATTCCTGAGGGATCGGGTAGAAACCTGGAATAAATGTTTAAAAACCCCAATCCATAAAAATCTTATCGTGTTTAAAAATGAAATTATAATAATAACAATAATTGTATTTTTCCCCGTATGGATTTCATTATTTAAAAAAAATAACGGGAAATCGATACACTCTGCTTCTCTTAAGGGGGAGGGGAAATAATAATAATAATAATAATGCAAGGTCTCCACGGTTGGTATATTAGTAGCAGACGAAAATCATTCATTATATGTATATATGGTTAAATAAATTATATCGTAAATATAATTATGAAAATAATAATAATAATAATTTTTAAGGAAATTTTAATATTTCAAAAAAATTTAAAAAATTTTACCGACCGTAAACATAAACTGTTATAAACAAAATAAATAAATAAATAATTCATAAAATTTTTTTTTTACGAAAGAAAAATTTTCTTCCTTAATAACAACAAATAATAATAACAATAATAAATTTATTATTATTATTTTTAAAAAAATCATCGTTACGTAAAATCATCGACTGATACCGAATTATGACGTCATAAATAAAAAAAAAATTAAATTCGAATTTAAAATATGTCGAAAAGAAAAGAAAAAAAATTGTGAATGACCTCGCGTTGTTGTTTGTTGTTTGTTGTTGTTTGTTTTACACGAATAATTTTTTTACCATGTATGCGGTTGGTTGTATGAAATTTTCTGAGGTGTTTTTCTGCGGTTAAAAAAAAAAAAAATTTTTACGTTTTTACGCCATTAAAGGCCTTCGCGTTAAAAAAAAAAAATGTCAATGTCGAATAAAATAAATTTTTTTTTCTTTTTTTTCAGAATTTTCCAGAAGAAAATAATTCAAAGCCGTATTATCATCATCATCGAATAAGATTTCCCGCGTTTTTCAAAATGATTTGTTCTAAAAAACCATGTTGCACTCTTTATCCCTATTGCACTTGTCTTCCTAGCAAGTGTTGCAGATGCTGTCCTCATTATCCAAACTGTTATTGTTATTCTTCGAAATGTTGTTCTCTGTATCCGAAATGTTACTGTTATAAAAAATGTTGCACATCATATCCACACTGTTACTGTCGTTCGAAATGTTGTTCATCATATCCGAAATGTTTTTGCACAACAAAATGCTGTACGAAATATCCATTCTGTACTTGTTACATACATTCTAAATATTGCCTATCGAGATGTTGTACCCTTTATCCGTATTGTTCGTGCAATCTAAGATGTTACTACAGGAAATATTACTGTTCCAAATATTACGGTGAGTATCATCATCATCATCATTATTATTTATTAAAATAAATTATTTAATAATTTAAGAAATAGTGCGTTAAATAAAACTCGTTTTAAACAAACTATAAATAAATTTTATAAAACGTGAGATTTTTTTTTTTTTTTTTTTATATTAATTTTTCATATTTATTTAATCTTCTGCCACGTCGTAAATTTAAATTTACATAAAAAAAAAAATTTTTAAATAATAATAATAATAATAATAATTTATCAAATCGTACTCGCGAGATGATAACACACAATCGTTAAATAATAATTTTTTTTTTTTTTTTTTTAAATTTAAAAATAACGGTTTTTTAAACAATCATTATCATTATTATTATTTTTTTTTTTAAATTAAATTAATTTTTATTTATTTATTTATTTATTTATTTATTACAGGATATTGCGATTGTTGTAGCGGATATTGTTTGTAGAAGTAAGTCAAAATCAAAATCCAAAAAAAAATTATTTTTAAACAAAGTTCAAAGGTTAAAATTAATCGTTTTTTTTTTTTTTTTTTTTTTAAAGGTACGTTATTTAAAACGGAAACACGAATTTTGGTACACGATGGCAACCCGGCCGGAAATTGAATATTGAATTTTGGATATAATAATAATAATAATGATTATGATGATAACGTTAATGATATGAATTATATAATTGTGTTTATGATAAGAATATATGACACTGATAAAGCACGGAATTACTTTAATATATAAAATAAATGTATTTACTATACATTATGTAGTTTTGCATAAATAATGATAATGATAATGTTAATAATAATCGAATAAATCAAACGAAATTATTTAATAAAAAAAAATTAGGATTCGACTATTGAAATAATAAAAAATTTCGTACGACGGAAAAATTAATTTATATATATATAACGAACGCGCACATACGCACACACACAACAAACACTCATTTTAATTATTAATTATATATTTACACTATTGAAAAATCGTTGTTGTTGTTTTTTTTTCACGTGGTTAAATTTCTGTGACGTCATTAACAACATAAAATTTTTTTTTTTTTTTTTTAAAACCGTAATAATTATTTGTTTATTTCTCGATTAATAATAATAATAATAATAAATATTTTACGTCATGAGTTTTATCAGAAATTTAAAAACAAAATAATAATAATAATAATAATAATTACGATAACAATTATTTACTATGAAAAAAAAAATAAAAAATAAAAACAATCAATCGATTAAAATCAACGGTTTTTTTTTAATCTTTAAAAAAAAAAATATATCAAATCACGTGATCATGAACTCATTAATAATAATAATAATAATAATAATTTTTTAATATTAAGGACGATTTTTTTTTTTTTAAATAAAAAAATTATTTAGAGCGAATAAGTAGTAGTTGTATTAAAAAAAAAAAAAAAAAAATAGATTTTTAACCTAGCATGAAAAATGGACGACACGAAATAAAAAAAAAAAAACTCGTTTCGCACCGTAAATGATAATAATAATAATGATTATTAGTATTATTATTATTATTATTATTATTATTATTATAATTCTACTCCTAAAATTCTTTTATTAGAATTTACGAGAGTATTTAAGGAGTAGATATTGTATGGGGAGACACGTTTATTAAAAACGCAGTACGTCCGAACTGTTTCCGTTTGTTTTGTTTTTTGTATAATGGCGACAATTTTCTTTTTTTTTTTTTTGCAAAATGGCGACAAATTTTTTTCGTTTTCCACGCCATTTAAAATTAATATATATTTATAAAAATACGAGAGTAGATATTGTTTGTTTAGCGATTGGAAACTTTTCCGACTTACTGCGTATCTATTCAATTATTATCTTCATATCGTGAGATGATTATTGAGAAGTTTTTTTTTTTTTGTTATTTAAACAAAATATTATTTATTTATTAATTAATATAATTTATTAATAAAATATTTAAATAAATAATAAATGTTAATAATAATTATTAATAAAAAAAAAAAATAAACTGCCATAAAAAAAACGAGTGTTCAAAAAAATTTTTATCTTGTTATTTGTTTGTTTGTTTGTTTTGTTCA